GAACCAAAACTTGGTTACCCATTCCCCCACGAATCCATATCTATGATTAGTTTTGAAATCGGACCTCAAATTGAGGTCCAAATCCCCAATTTTAAGAAAACCTAAGTTCTACCCAAAATCCCCATTTTCACCCATGGAAATCCTTGATTTAAGATGAAAAAAAGGTTTAATGATGTTAAAGATTGAAGAAATTAAGTAAAAATTGACTTACAAATGATTTGGGGAAGAAAGTTTTCTTGGAAATTCGCCTATGGAGTGTTTGAGTTTGAAAGAATGAAGAAATGGGTTGAAAATTCGTCTAAGTATGAAAAATGCAGGCCTCAGATATGGGAATTGCGAACATGGGTTCGCAATTGCGAACCCAGTAGGCTTGGAAATGCGAGGAAGTAGTTCGCATTTGCGAACACTGGGCAAAGGGGGAAGTTTCGCATTTGCGAGCTGAAATGCGCATTTGCGACCAGCTCTAGTTCGCATTTGCGACCCAGATGGTCGCATTTGCGACCCAAGACAGAAATTCCCTTTTTCACATTTGCGATCAGGGACTCGCATTTGCGAGAATTTCTTCGCAAATGCGAAGATACCAGAACCGAAGGATCAGATTTTTCCAAAGTTCAAAAATGCAATTCGACACCTATCCACAACTCACCCGAGCCCTCGGGGCTCCAAACCAAACATGTACCCAACCTCAAAAACATCGTAGGGACTTACTCGTGCGATCAAATCGCCATAACAACATCATATACATAGAATCAAGCCTCAAAACTCAAGATTTCTTTCAATTTTTTCCATAAAACACCAATTTTCCATTTTAAGTCCGAAATACGTCAAATGACGTCCGTTTCCAACCAAACGTTACAGAAAGTGCTTAAATCACATATAAGACTTGTACCGGGCATCGGAACCAAAATACAAGCCCGATACCATAGTCTTCTAATCAAATTTCCTTTTCGTTTTCCTTAATTAATTTCAGAAAACAATTTCACACAAAAATTCATTTCTCGGGCTTGGGATCTCGGAATTCGATTCCGGGCATACGCCCAAGTCCCATATTTTTCTACGGACCCTCCGGGACCGTCAAATCACGGGTCCGGGTCCGAGTCCGTTTACCCAAAATATTGACCAAAGTCAACTTTAATCATATTAATATCAAAATTCATTAATTTTTACACAGAATTCATATTTAAGCTTCCTGGCTACACGCCCGAATTGTGCACGCAAATCGAGGCGACTAAAAATGAGATTTTTAAGGCCTCGGAGACACAGAATGAGTGAGAAAGCAAGTGATGACTCTTTGGGTCGTCACAGTTGGGCATCATCATGGGTTTATTTGGACTGATGATCTTTTATGAGTAAACTTGGGCTAGCCTAAAATGACCCTTCTTCAAAACTATTCTAGCCCAAACCCATTAAAACTTAGACGAGTTGGACGGGTCGAATGAGTTTGGGTTAGTTTTGCAACCCCTAGTCAATATCACACCAGACATTTCGAAATATCAACACCAAATGTAAACAAATTAGATAAACTAATGACAATCTTTCTTGGAATTTTTACATTCCTATACCACATAGGAAACCTTTTTACCCTCAATGTTTAAGGTTTGACTTAATTACACTTAGTATACCAAATTACCATTTCTATACCATAACTAATTAAGGGTATAATTAATAAGATATTTTTTACTCCTTAATTAAAGGGTTTCCGTTACCCGCCCAGTATCTCCACTCCTCCCTTACTTTCTCTCTCCGAATCCCTCAGCCCCGTACCCACGTTCTTTTACCCGTACCCAGTAAAAAGGTTGTGGAGGATTTGAGCATGTTTAACCAATTTCTATTATTTTCATTGCCATAAACGACGAGATTACAGTAAGTTTATAAATAAAATAATTGTGGTTTGAGTGATAATGGATACTGGTAGCAGAGGCGGACCGAAGATTTGAAGGTGACGGGGGCACCATTATTTTTCAACATAGTTATACATATCTCTAGCTTTAAAGTTTAGCGTACTACTCTCTTGAAGGGTATATGAGGTCTTTTGATTTAGGAATTTAATTAGAAATAGAAGGGGGCGGGGAAGTTCGAGGGAAACAAAAGCAAAAAAAAGTAATTAAAAAAAAGTTATTTGTAGTTGTGATGTTTTGCCTTTTGTAGTTGTAGATATTTTGTGGACAGAATAGTTTTATTGCTGTATTTTACTGTTTGTAGTGTAATTGTAGTTAGTTTTTAGTTTATGTAGAACATTACAAGATTAATTGTAGTCTAAATGTTGATATAATGTAGACATGATTGTGGATGATGTGTTGCCTGTTTGCCCTGTAACTGTAGGTAAATTGTAGTTATTTTTATATTAGGTACTTAAACTGTAGGTAATTTGTACATTCACTGTAGGTAAACTGTAGCTAAATTTGTTTAAATTGTAGAGCTGGTTTTATACATAATTGTAGAGTTTTTGTAGTTAATAGTAGTTATAATGTAGGATTCATGTACCGCTTCACACCATCTATCACAGTATGGACATGATCTGTTGAAGCCCTCACCTAGAATTACATAACAAACAACAATAAAAATATTTACAATCATAAAATACTTTATCTACAATTTATCTACAACGTATCTACAATTATATCTACAAATTATCTACAATCTACAAATTAACTACAATTTGTCTACAAATTATCTACAATTCTCACTTTGATATTCCTTTGTGACGGGAGAGGCTGGCATATCCCACACTGTAGTTTATTTGTAGATAAATGTAGGTATTTTGTAGATATTATCGTAAAATCAGACTTCCATATTAAAATCTCGTACACTTATGAGTAACGGATACAATCCTAAGTTTTTATTCTCCTTTTTTGTCTTCATATACACACTAACCCCCATATTGTTCCTAATCTCCATTGGAGGA